TCTAGGAAGAGATGGGATATAGCCAGTCTGGAAGTGGAACTGAAAAGCCACTGGTGGTACAGTGCTATAGTAGATGAGTTATCTCCTTTCTCCTCCAAGAGCTTCATGGGTCTAACTCTGTTGTTCCCATTCCCTTTTTTTCCCTTGCTGTGTCCATCCTCCCTGCAATGCCCAAGCTCAGAAGGAGCTGGTGGCTTCATTCTGGGCACTCTGAAGAGCAGCACTTCTAGAATCAGATTATGTTAAGGGGTTGGAATGGAGCTTAGAGATCACCCAGCCCCAACCCCCTGCCCTGGGCAGGGACACCTCCCACCAGAGCAGGTTGCTCAAGGCTTTAGCCAACCTGGCTGTGAACACTGCCAGGGTTGGGACAGCCACAGCCTCCCTGGGCAACCTGTGCCAGTGTCTCACCACCCTCACAGGGAAAATGTCTTCCTAATATCTAACCTAAATCTCCCTCTTTCAATCGATATTCCACTTGTGGCGTTGATTACAAGCTGATTACGTTTCTTTCCAGGTGGTGTGATCGAGGCCTTCCCACATTCCACCAGAGTCACAAACCTGACCGTGGATATGCTGATAGAGCCAACAGGAGAGATACAAATAGTGTCATCTGGAGACCAGCTCCATGCTGATGGTCCCTTGCGATCCTCTGGCACCACCATTCCACAACGTTCTGTCGACCCAGAGGTTCTCACCTCGCTCTGCTCGAAGATTGGAGAGACCTGTAGATCCAAAGGAGTGCTTGGCTACTTCTCCGTTGATTTTGTGACCTTCACCCATCCACAAACGATGGAGCAGCAGGTATGTTACTTCATGCTGCTCCACTGAGGTCAAGACATGTCAGCTTTTCTATGGGATTCCAACAGGTGTCAGGAGAAAGCTATGCCCCTTGGAACAAACTGTATTTCCCAAGCTGTGAGGCTGTGGAGGGAGGGTAGCACATGGGAATTATAAGTATACTCAGCAGCATAAAATGTAGACCTGATCTCATTGGTTTTCACTGTCCTGATACTGTTTTCTTCTAGGATCTTCAATGAGGACCCTCAGTGTTTGCTGTAGCAGAGAACATCCCTGTGTTTATGAGGATAGGCTGTGGGGTACACGTGGACTTCCAGGAGATGGTGTGGCTGTTTCTCCCAGGTGTCTGAAAACTACAGCCAGTGTGGTGTGAACACAAGGATTTTTTTAAACCCAAAGAGTTACTTGTGGCACCTGCTGGCAAAGCTGGTTCTGGGGCACAGTTGTGGTAGTTATAGTCCACTTCTAGCCCAGGGAAGGCTTAAAATCAGGTCTTTGGTAACTGATACCACTGTAGGATGGCTGTGGTGAAACAGGGAATCAGAATAATCACAGAATCCTGGAATGGTTTGGGTTGGAAGGGACCTTAAAGATGATCTCTTTCCACCCTATGGGCCAGGACACCTTCCACTAGCTCAGCTTGCTCCAGCCCCATCCAGCCTGGCCTGGAACAGTCCTAGGGATGGAACAGCCACAGCCTCTGGGCAAGCCAGTGCCTCAGCACCCTTACAGTGGTTTGTTAGCTCTGGAATACAGATCCCAGTTACATTTGCCTCCCAAAATGTATTTACACAGGGATTGTAATTAGACCTGTGGATAAGCCATATTGGACAAATTCCATGGAAAGTTGCTTTAAAAAGATTAAGGGATGACATTCTTCCCCACAGAAGTCCATGGGAGTTTTGCCAAGGGCTTCACTCAAGCCAGGAGTTCAGTTTGTTAGCTCTGGAATACAGATCCCAGTTACATTTGCCTCCCAAAATGTATTTACACAGGGATTGTAATTAGACCTGTGGATAAGCCATATTGGACAAATTCCATGGAAAGTTGCTTTAAAAAGATTAAGGGATGACATTCTTCCCCACAGAAGTCCATGGGAGTTTTGCCAAGGGCTTCACTCAAGCCAGGAGTTCACTCAAATGCA